AGATGGAATGTAATTCACTTCCAGTAAGTTTGTACCAGTACACGTGGAGGGCATTGTATATGAAGCAATCTCTCAGGCTGGCTGGTTAGTTTTGATATTCAATCCTTAATAATCCATGCATTACCAGTTTTGTTGATCACACTGAAATTATACTGTAGCTCTGGATTACATTTGAAAAAAAAAATCGAACAACAATAAATTCTCATTATAACTAAAAATAAAACATATTCATTGTTCTTAAAAACATACATACAGTAAGTAATCCAGCAGGTAGTTAAAAGAGTTAAATTATTTTGATTTCAGTTGTAGTTTGATGTTATTTGATTTGTGCCTAAACTGCTGTCTAAAATGAAAAGTACCCAGAGTTCATTACAGTTCATTGTTATCAACAATGTTTTCATGCATATCAACACTTAACATACATATTAAATTAATATTGATAGGTCATAATGTCTGATAATGTGTGATAATTTCACAAAAATCAAGTGAAATTGAAATAAAGCAACTTTAACTTTTGTATTGACAAACCTATAGTGTCTCCGCCAGAAGAGATAAGTAATTGGTGTCTTCCAAGCCAGTAAAGGCCATTTACATTCAGCGATTGTAGGCTTCTCTTTCAGTGCTTGCAAATTAAGAAAAAGAGTCATTTGATTATATTGCCCTCTGTCATGGTAATGAGACTCGTTTTAATAAACTCAGTTGATGAATTGGAAAAAAAAACACAACAAGTAAGGTAACAGTCTTTACTACTATGGTAAAACATGGTAAGGTTTATAAATAACCCCTATTAAGGCATGCTCACTAAGATGCTGAAGTATGTTTCTGGTTTACCAGAGATAATACAAAAAGACACTAGGCAAGAGACTAGTTTTCTGCTCATAAAAACACACAGTAATGACTTTATTTACACCTACTGTATCATCAGGGATCAAAACAACAGGAATAGAGATGAGTGTTATCCATTCTGTTAAAAATCTATGCAAGGGCAACTTATTTGTATTCCCTTACACAGTCCTAGGGCAATTGTATTGCCTTGTGTTTTTCAGGTAAAACAACAACAGCACATACACAAAACAATTCACTAAACTCATTGTCATTTCAAACAGGCTGACCCATCTTCACAATATAATACTACCTAGTCTTGGCAAAATAAGTCATTCACATGAGTAGGGTTCAAAGGGTAACAACAACGAGAATGAAGTTTTTGATACTGCTTTCTCAGTCATTTTAATGGCTGAAACCACATTTCAAAGGACATACCACATAACAGACACAGCCAAATCTAAATTAAGATTAAATCTTAAATTAAGATAAATATTTTGAATAATTGGCTTTTCCATCATGACATTGTAGAGACAATCATTTGGGGGATCTAAATCACTGAACTTATAGCAAATATAATATTATAGATGTTAATTTGTTTTCTTAATCAAATACCATATATACTATAAATACAGCTCATTATATTGTTTGGCTATATTCACTTTTAAGAATGGAAACCATTACATGATATTTAATTGTTTTCTGAAGAAAATGAATAACATAGACATTGTATTATAATAAAGTGCTATAGGAAAATAATTACAGTACTTCTCTTTGTTCTCTTTATTCCCTAAATACTCTTTCAGCTCTACAAAATTGTATCATTTATTTGCTGAAAGCAATTTCTGTATTTCACTGGAATTAATTACTTTTTCTAGAAAATAGTGTCATCTGCAAAAAAAGGAACATGACTCACAAACAATAGCTTTCCATCTAAGCATTTTACCAGCTGCCAGATGAAGTTTTTATAGTTGAAGCAGTGCTGGTACATTTTAATGCCACTTAATGAAATGTAAGAGATTCTAAACCTCCTGCAAGAGTTTAGCAATTTCCATTTGAAATCCTCAGACAGCCTGCAGAACCCTGGTAAAAACATAAAGACCAATTTATATAGTATTATTTCCCTCATTGTTACTGCATGCTTTTCTAATGAGCTAAGAAAGCAATAGACATACTGTACACAATGCTTTGTGATAATCCTGCAATAATACCTGAACTCAAAAGCCAGTGAAAGTATAAATTTGGCTCTCTCAACATTTGACAAGCTAAAGACTCTTGAAGACTAATGATTTTAGTGTTTTGTCAGATATGGAAACTGTAATTTGCCAATGTTGGTAGTTGGTGGTACTCCACTCATTAATAGAATAGACTGATTGCAGGGCATAACTTTATCTTCTCTTCTGTTCTAAAAATCTTGTATTGTTTAATGCAAGTAAATATTAGTTCCAAGTAGTAGGAGGCCATGTGAATGTTTTACATACAAATACCAAGAACACAGGTGTATTTTTGTTTGGAAGGAGAATATATCAATAATAAGTTTTAAAAGTAAAATTCAATGCATTATTATGCCTCCAACTTAAAACTTAAACCTTGAAAGTGGCATTGGTAGGTCATTCACTGTAAGTTTTTATGAAGATTGTAATCGCACTGTTCTCACAAGCATAGAGTTCATAAGTCTGTGGTGCAATATTCTTAATATTAATTCATCTTACGGTTATTTTGTGTGCGTGTTTATTCACATTTTAGTTCCCACCACCACTTGTATGAAGCTATGTCTTTGCATAGATTTATGGGAAAATATGAAACATAGTAAGTGAAACCTGAGCATGCTATCTTCAGGATTGAAATGATAAAACCATCAATTCTCCACACTCTGTCAAGTGAATTCAAAAAAGGTTAATTTCATATCCAAACCCCAATAATATGTTTACAACTGCTTTTGACTACTTTAAATTATGGCATAGTAAATAGCAGATGATAGCCTATATTAGCACCATTATTGATTATTACAACCTATGTCATTCATTACTTAATCGTTTCATAAGAAACAAAAAGCTAGAAACGGAATTATGTATAATTAAAATACCTATTCACTGCCTCCAAGACACCTTGTGAACTATCAAATGCATACACTCAGTAGTAGCAACAATCAGGAGTTAAAGATGTTATGGCAAATTATTTAAAAGTTATATTTAACATCAGAATAGTTGTATGGTGATTTACAATAAAGAAAAAATATTTATTTTTCAAATCCAGTCTGTCGTTCCTCTGCCCTTTTCACTAGCAATTTCCCTTGATCTGTCCTATCATTAACCTAATAAGTTTACATTTTCATGTTATAGGAGTATCTTTCCCAAGCGGATTACTTTAATCTCCTCTTGAATCAATTAAAATAAAAACAAATCATTGCAAAAAAGACTCACAAAGCAGGAACACAAACTAGTCCATCAATGATTTTAATATGTATGAATACAGTATGTTCTGCCTTACAACAGAACAGCAATAAATCCATGGCTGGGAACCATAAACTACTCATCCTCTAATATTAAATATTAATATTAAGTAGATTTTTACCACAATTGCCATTTTTTACCTTCAGGTATTTTCAAAGATAACTAGCAAGCATTTAGCCAACAATGGTAATAAATTGATTTGATTGTACAGTGGATCAATTTGGTGAGCTGCAATTGAGCCAACTACAGTATGGGTAATTCTCCTTACCATAACTTTTATCCCTCTTGAATCCCCTGTTTACAATTAAAAGGACAGTTAAATTAGTATTTGTTTGTAATCTGTTACAAATCAAATTAATATCCTGTTTGATCTCACTGAATGCTGTTCATTTAGGTTTTTTTTTACTGCAAAGGCTAGAGGGCATTAGATTGAAGATCTTGAACTGTTGCAATACCGTCCAACAGTCCAGATCACACACAATCATACTGCATTTTGTTAATTGTTGGGGCAATATTAGCAAAATTGGTCCAAACGTCATGGAGCATATCATGGTAAAATAGCATTTCCTTCATAATGATCTTTTAAAGGAAATAGTTATTATTTCTTTATAAATAATATTTAGAACATAGATGATATGTCTGAACCACTACAAGAAGAAAATAAAGAATGATGTGTATCAGAATTATGACTTAATTAGTCCAGATCAGGAGTTGAGAATTTCAGTGGAATTAAATTATAAAACCCAGCAGGCCATGAGAGCTCACATTTTCATAGCAGATTATGCAGTTATTTATATACAGCTATACAACATAGTGTGTGCATGAGTAATTTTCATTTGTGCAAAATCCTTTGCTAAGAATATTAGAATAGAACCTGTTTTTGGTGGTGTAATTTTGCTACTTAAAAATATTAAATGTTTGAATTTATAGATATTACTGTAAGAGCTCTATACTGTATAAGCCACTTGAGATCCTGAAGTCTTATTTATGTCTCTTTTTGAATTATGCTTGAAGCATTTCACATATCTACTGTAATGTGAACAGCATGTTCACTTGTGGATATATATATTTTCAGAAGAACCCCCTTTGGGTTTTTCCATTTGAGTTGCTAAGAATTCCGATAAAACCATGACTCATTTGCACATTTTCTCTTAGCGCATTTATGCACATGTGCAGTATTTAGAGATCTCTGCAGTTTCCACTGACTGCAAAGTAAATTTCCTAATAACTGACATTTCTAGAATCTTGCATGCCATTCTGTATTCCTGTTTTGCTCCAATCAGCTACATACTGTAAGCTGAAGAAGTTTTAATTCATTTGCAAGCTGAACAAGAGGATCACCTGATTAAGCTTACCTGAGCCTCTCTCAGCCAAATCTCATCCAAGAATGGTGTATAAAATACTTGATACTATCCTTTTCCAACTGTCAAAGACTTATGGAAAGTAAAGATGATGGAGATAAAAGATAAATATGTTATTTTCAATGGAAAAAAACAGGTAGGTCAGGCCCCATTTATTGTACAGACTCCTCCACACAGCCAAGCAGTTGTATATCCACAGAAATTAGTAACGGTACCATTGTTTTTCTGAATAAGGAAAATATGTCCTATAGCATGCCGAAGTCCAGGAAATTATAGGCTGATTTAAAAAATGTAAAAGAAATACCAGCTACATACATGCATTGATTGCTTTCATAAATCTGAGTATCTGAGTTAGACTCTATAACGTGCACAGATTTCAACTGAGAACAGAGCAAATGACATTATTTAGGTTTTCACCGTTTGTGTGTTTAATCAAAAGCGATACAAATATTAGAGGACATGAAAAAGAAATTGACCTTTTGACATATAGTACAAAAGCTAGTGACATAAGGCAAAAATCTATACACAAAATTCAACATTTATCTTGAAAGTGCACTAATGTGACTTACAGTATATGACAATTCTCACCAGGTGTATTCTTCTACTATTAAAAACAAGAAACATGTCAAACTTACATTTATGATTGCATACTGTACAGTATATTGTCAGTCTGTTAAGATATGAAATAGGGATTAGGTTGAAGAGTAAGTAAAATTTGCTTCCTTCACCAGTCTCTATTCAAAAGTACTTTGTTTAATTGAACTTCTTTTCCATCCCTATTTAAACTATTTTTTTTTTTGGTTTCATATTCATTTATTGGCACCCATTACAAGTTAGATATACAGTCCCCTAAAACATTTAATATCTTATCTAATCAATAAGTGTTGGTAATACTTTACAGTATATCCTTCAGGGCCACCACTAAAACAGAGCACTCAGGAATGTTAGTCACATATCCAAACTTGCATTGTGCTCATTTTCTATTTAAAGGAGATAACCTTCCTCGTTTGAGATTTTAACAGCGGGCATGACTTAAACAAGATTAACCCACAAATATACAGAGACTTTATTTTGTGAGTTTCTTTTATTAGCCTCTGCATGTAATATTTTTAGGAAGGCCACATTTCAGTATTTTACAAACTGTACTAAGATACACACTTATTATATGTTGGTGTCTTGCATTTTTATACCTTAATAAGCTGCTGTTATCACTGTGTTGTGATGCACAATATATTCATAAAAGTACTAATATATAAAACCTTTTACACTCTGTGGTAATTTCTTCAACTTGTAGTTTCTTAGCACAGTAAAAAGGCAATGCATTCCCCATTACGTCGTAGACATAAGATTAAACTATTTAATAAACATACGTGTTTAAAAATAAACCTATCGACCTCCAAGAGAATACAGCCTTTAACGCTAACCTGTTTAATTTTTCGAAGCAATATGCAAAATTAGCCTGGGCGATATGTCAATATCTTAACTTTGAACGCGAAATAGAAGAAGCAAGTTGTATCATCATAGACGCGATTTGTCTAATTATTGTTTAGTCATGGAGGAGAAAGGGGACGTGATGTTTCATGTAACTTATGGAAGCCTACTAGTTCGATGAAAAGCATTCTTATTGTGCTAAAGATAGTGTAATTTCTTTGTGAAGGAGCTGTCCAATGTGCTGAATTCGAGTTGATTTCAATGGTAGTACCGCAGAAGTACAACTGACCAAAACCGAATGCATTATCCATATATGATAAACATGTCTTTTCACGGTGGAGCAGGAGACCTTTCCGAAATTCAACAATAAGTTATTACTTACCAATGATATGGAAGCTAATAATTGATGGATTATAAATTAGTACATGGCATCTTTGTGTCATAAGGATTAATAACAATACAACGCTTGTGACAAACTGCAAATTAATCGCATTGCATCTGCGTATTTTGTTTACATCTGGTGAAATGCCCGTTACCGAAAACCGAAAAGCCTTCTAGTAGTTATTTCATTGTTATTTATACACACCTGGATCACAAAATGTCTAAAACAACGTTAACCTCTAGATTTGTACCTCAGCACATTTCTAAACTTATGAATACAGAACAATGAAGATAAAGCTAATAATGTTTTCACAAAGCATATTAATGTGAATGTCTGACAATTAACTCCACGTATGATTTAGAACCTTCTTGGAACTAATAATGCACCCAGAAAGGATTACAGACTTGTAATTAATTATGCAATTTGATACAGGTCCCGTGCAATCTTTGTATAGAAGAGTCTAAAGAACGACACTTGTCATCACACAGTTGTTAACTGGTGCTACCTTCTTCTTTGGCCAGGCAAACATCTTCTTCAATTTCCCTCGGAAATTATCATGAAGCCAAGCATAAAGAATAGCATTGGTACACGCTGACATCATGGCGAACCAGTGGCAAAGAAGCTGAATCAAATTGAAGTACTGCTTGTCAATTAGGTTGATATCCATGTCCTTCATCATGTTGAAAATGTGCAGCGGCAGCCAGCAAATACCAAAAGCAGCCACGACCAACACCAACAAACGGAAAGTTTTTCTTCTTCTAGCTCGGTCCCACTCCACCTGGCTCTGCGTAATGTTGCCTGGTACAACTCGGTTTTTTAGTTTGACAGAGATTCTCAAGTAAGATAAGGAGATCACAGTTAAAGGAAGGGCGTACGTAAGGATAAGCGTGCTATAAGCATAAGCCAGGCGCTCCTTTTCCATTCCTACCCAAAACTCTTCGCAAATAGAGAAGTCAAGTTCTGGGAAATCGACGTGGTAAGTGTGAGCCAAGGCTGGAGCCGCCAACAAAGATGAAAGCAGCCATATAGCGGCCAGGATGTACGCGCAGGTGGGTATGGTGAGACGTCGCTTCAATGGGTAAACAGTAGCATGGTACCTCTCTACAGCAATTACGGTCAATGTGAAAACGGATACGAAAACTGTTACAGGCTGCATAAGAAACACAAAATAGCACATAAATATTCCATAAATCCATCCCCGTGGCTCAAAAGCGTAAGCCAAAGTAAGGGGCACGCAGGTGGCACACATAAGCATATCAGAAAATGCTAGGTTACCGATTAAGAAATTCGTTACGTTGTGCATCTTTTTGGTCTTGCATATTACATAGATGAGCAAATAGTTTCCGAATATGCCGATGAAAACGACGAAGGAATAGCAAGGAATTATCAGAGGTTTAAAGGACTGCAACAGTTGGAGCCCTGTGAATTGGTTCCACGTTATGTTGTTCAGTTCAGCCAGCAGTCTCTGCGAGGAAGTCGGGTTCTCAGTGTTCATCTTGAGGTACAGTCGGAGGTGGCAGCGCGTGGACAGACTTTTAAGTCCTCTTGCCCCCCCTCTGCCCGAGTGCCTCTAACTAAACCTAAAAGATTCGAGAAAATAAAATCCGTGTAGCATTTCACGAAAATAAAACTGTACAAATAAAAACAACACCAAGATTAAAATACTGATACGATAAATCACATACTGTATCGATATTTTTGGAAAAATAATAAACTAGTTTATCGGCATTGTACATTATACTTACGATGCTGCTGGGCTAGTTCCTTGACTGGCATGGTTAAATGTGCAACTTAATAAGATAAAACATTGTGTTCCTCGTTTTCAAGAACTGTTGAAATATTCTACAAGTGGGCAGTGTTTTTTTTTTCGAAAGGCACGAATCCTCTAGCGATGTCACAGCATTCTACAAAGAGGGAAAGTGGTTGGTTGTATAGCATTGTACGTTGCTACCTACGTCTCAGATGGAACAGTATGATCTGACTGTCATCAAGTGTAGACAAGTTGCAGGTTAACATGTTTTGTCCATAAGTCTCTGGCTTTCATTTAATCTATGTATATTTCATCAATTGAAACGAGCAAAAAGGAGCAAATACAATATGATAATTGGGATGCATGTACTGTATATAAGTTTCTCTAAGGAACAAAACGAGCATGTTTTTTTTTTTTACACGTTCAGTGCGTATGTGGATTGTTTATTTTACAAGCAATCACGAACTAACATTTCGTTATTTTTAATCTTTCAGTTTTTTACTCTCCGAGGTTATGATTTTTTATTTTTATTTTGGGTTTCTGTAACGCTGTTTTTTACAACGCACCACTGTAAATAAACGGAAAGGATTAATATACAGAAAAGTCATTTTAATCGCGGGAACAATATGACAAAATTAATTCCTTTACAGTTTATCTAGTGCTTTCGTGATCAGCAGTCATTTGGTTTCATACCTGACTTAATTGCCAAAAACTTCTACAGTATGTGAAGTAATATAACCCTGTTGCCAGCAGAGGGAGACCTAAGTACATCACCTACTGTATGTCAGCAACCTCTATAATATCACATCTTAGGACATCTGCAGCTTCAGACTTTACATTGACGGCAATTAATGGGTAGACATTAATAACGCTTTAATAAAAGTAGTCTACGGTAAGTTTATGCATTAATGTTAATCGGCTACTCGTGTTCTTTAAAACCTACTTGAGGTTAATTTAGAACCAAATCAAATCAGAACTTTCACCCGCCCATCTGTAACAGACTGTATACCCGTGACTTTGTGTTTGCTGAAGGCTTCTTTTATCTGCCACTTAATACATCTGCAGTTGAGGGGGGTGATTGAAAGATTTTATGAGGTCAGTTCTGCAGTTAGAATATTTAAAGCATCATATACTGTATACATATATCCCTTATCAATATTCTAAAGAATTTGAAAATAAATTATATTCTCATGATATTGTATGCTTTATACTGTTGTATGACTAAATGTGTAACTTGAATGGCCTAATAGATGTGATATATATATATATTAGATCATAGAGATGCATCTGTGTGCAAAGGTGCAAGTGAAGGTTAATACCGTACTGAAAAGTAAAAGGAAATGTTTTGGCTGTACAGCCTTTGTTCAGATAGATGTGGTGACTTCAGTATAATAGGAAGTTTTCCAAAGGGCATGCACATAATCAATAATTGTGCATTCTCTCGCTAACAGATATCCACGTACATTTCATATACTGTATCAGTCATAGTGGTCAACAGAAATATAGCAGTTGTAAAAAAATTATGCATGCATGTTTTGTTGTTTTCAACATGTCCACTAAGAAATGGACATATGCTTAAGAGACTAATGTACATAAAATTGGACTGAACATTCCTTTCTTAAAAAATAAATAATTCTGCTGAAGGGACTCATCTTCAATGAAAGGGTACTTTTAAGTTTAGTCATAATGTTATAGCTTTTTTGTAGCCTCCATGTGACCTGGCTGTGAATGCCCAATAATGTATGTTTTATTGTAGATGCTGATTGAAGTCCATGGCTTTCATAGCCACAGCTGAAAGGGGTAAAACGTGCACCCGCAATCAAAGTGTAGATTCAACTACCGCAGTATAATCATATTCAATCTTGATATGAATAAAAGTGGAAATGATTGCCCGACAATCATAAGCTTGGAGCATTTTATTTAAGAAGATGAAAATTAAAAGAATGAGCCTCCTTCCACTAAAAGCTTTATAGCACAAATTGTCAGTATTTTTCTCCCTTCCCAAAATTGACCTGCATTTTGCACTCTTGTTAGCCTCGGAATATAGCAGCTATGTCAGATTTAAATAGGTTTCCAGAGAGACATTAACCTTGGGGCTACAATGGAAGTTATAGAGGAGTTCTGGTTTTCTGGAGCAGACAGAAATGCCTAAAAAAGACTGCTTATCCCATACAAAGAGTTCAGAATCATTCTGTATCTTTTCTTCATTTTCTGTTGTCCGAGTACAATACCACAGCCACCTCTTTCTGTCTTGAAGAGACCATAACATCAGCTTGTACCTTTTATGGTGGCTTGAATCTTTCATATAGGTGATATGACAACCCAACTGTTTAGTCAGGGATTTTCCATTTATTAGCACATCTGTCCATCACTCTTTCCTGAATGGCTGCATTTACCATGGTCACTAATCTAAGGAACAGAAAGTCACGCACTACTCAATGATAGCGCGCTGAAAGGAGTATGGTGAGGTTATATTTATATTATTAAGATCACTTTATGCAATCCTAGGAACATATTTGTTTTTTAAAGTATTTTTAAGCATTTATCAGCTAAGTTCTTTAGTCGTAAACTTGCAATATGAGTAAGAATTACATTTCTGTACCAAATACATTGTTTAATTAAGAGACAAATTTACACATCCCTGGACATTATCCACAGTATTTTTACATCCCCTAGACTGATTTTAAAAATATTTCATACTGTACATAGTACTGTACCCTTACCATCTGTCAAAAATATACAGTACAAGCACAAAATCACAAATACAGTTTTTCTTATCTAGCAATATGATAGGCGGTAGCTTGGTTTGCCTTAACACTGATCTTATCCATCTACCTAGTCTTTTCTGTCAAAACACTATCTGAATTTCATTAAAAATTCAAATGTCATAATCTGCAGTAAAGCTGTCATATGAAAGGGGACATGCTGTACTGTTATTGTAGGTGTGAGACAGCATCCTAATACATTTTCTGTGGATGACTTCTAAAGAGGAGATGGTATCTATTCAGCTGAGGATTTTAATAAGCAAGGGGACTGGGCAGAAAATGAGACGCTCTTTACTTTGTAGATCCTGCACATAGAGGTTTCTTTCAGAATTGTAATCTGTATTGCATTCCTAACTTTATTTTTCTCCTTCCTTTTTGTTTCCTCAAGACAAAAAGTACCCCTCTGTTGAATGTGGATCGGGAATTGTCTGTGTCAGATTAACCTTTTTGATCTGAAGTGAAGGTTTCTTGAACAAGTATAATTTTGTATACAGTTGCTTTATTAGTTTTAATCGTGAACACACAGTACCTGTACATACACTTTACGTTTATTCACAGAAAATCTATTGTTGTTATGTAAAGGTGGGGTTTACAAAATACATTTTAAAGACATTACGTTTATGGCAATACATTCTTCAATATGTGTGTTTTTTAAATCATAATAAAATAAATACAAAACTTTTGGTTAAATTACAATGGTTTGCTCATGAATAAGTTCTTTATTACAAAACTACACTCACTGTTACGCTGTGTCCGTAAGGAGCAATCTTTCTTCGCCAAATAAACAGTTTCTTTAGCTCCTTTCTGAAACTGTCGTGCAGCCATGCGTAGATGAATGGATTATAGCAGACTGAACTCATGGCGAACCAGTGGCAGGAGAGCTGCATCAGGTTGAAGTAATATTTACTGATAATGTTGATGTTAATATCGCGAATGATGTTAAACATGTGCAAAGGCAGCCAGCAGATGCCGAACACGACTACAACTATGACCAACAAACAGAACGTCCTTTTCTTCCTGGCTTTGTCCCAGTCTGCTTGGCTTTGTGTTACACTGCCGGGCATAACCCTGTTCTTCAATTTCACAGAAATTCTCACGTATGATATCAGGATCACCAAGAGCGGCAACAAAAATGAAATAAACAGCAGGCAGAAAGCATAGGCTTGTCTTTGACTTTCTTTGGTTTCCCAGAACTCTTCGCAGATGGTGATTCCCTGATCCTTTAATTCTACATAGTAGGTGTTAGCCATGGCAGGAACAGCAAGACAACACGCGATTATCCAAATGAAGAGCATCAGGTAAGCGCTTAGTTTCAGAGAAATTCTGCGGCGCAACGGGTGGACGATCACAATGTAGCGGTCCACAGCAATTGCGGTCAGAGTGAAAATAGAAACATAGACTGTCACCGGCTGCATAAAAAGTACGAAATAGCACATTGAATTGCCGAAGAGCCAACCTTTGGGTTCGTACACGTAGGCTAAGGTGAGAGGAATGCAGGTTGTGCACATTAGAACATCTGAAGTAGCGAGATTTCCTATGAGGAAATTAGTCACATTGTGCAGTTTCTTTACTCTCATTATTACCGACACCAAAAGAAAGTTACCAATAATTCCGATGATGACAACAGCGGCATATAATGGGATTATTACAGCCTTAAGTTGCTGAATCAACTGCAAACCTTGAAATGCTGCAAAAGTCTCGTTTGGCACTTTGACCAGTGTCTTTTCCGTTTTATTATCGAAAAGTTGCAGCCCCCACCCAAATTCAGAAGAATGATTAGTCATTTTGCTTCCTAAAGGAAAAAAAGAACAGAACAGTTATTTAAATGACATTCTGACCACTGTTCGCAACCTAACATACACAGTAAACATTGAAACGCCAATATTTAACATATAAATCTCTTATCGCTCAATAGAGGCTTAAAGTACCAATGGATCGATGGAAAAATGAAGTGTTGTATTCAAAAAACGTCAAGCCGTGTTCTTCTGAGAAGCGCATCATTTTTATTACCAGCATCGTGCTGTACAGTAGGTGCTGACTAGCCCAAGAGGCAAAACTCTTGGCTGAACTATATTTAATCTTGAAAACCGAACTGAACTTACCTCTGTCTATTGGTGTCTAGCTGCAAATCCCATCGTGTGACTTTTAAGTTAGAAATAATAGGAATTGCAATGGTGGGCTGCACTTTTATTCTATCCATGAACGTGTCGCCACTCAAACTGGTTAAGCATTGTTTCACGCGAGAGTCTCCATTCGAGAGTCCTTTCAGAAAAGCAACGTTGTTCTGTAGTCTGATAACCTGCCATCAACATTATCTCATTTACAGCTATAAACCACCAACAGTTTTTAAACCGAGCAGGTTTACATGACTGGTAGGAACATCACAGATCCAGATGTACTGTATCTGAGATGATGTGCATGAGAGTACTGTTAAATTTTAGAAAAAAATAGAGTACATATCATAGGCCCCTCCCTTTCATTTCCTCCCAAGCTCAGTATCAGCAAGAGTAATGAAAGGATCACATTTATTGGAGAAAAAACATGGTTTTATGTCAAGTCTGTTCGGGGACAAAATAAGCTTTTTATACAGTACTCCTGGCATGGAAAAGTATAATTTTTGTGTAATGATGTTTTGCTACATATCGTTGTTTCTTTACATACTTAAAAAATACAATCGAATGAATATGATATGAGTGTTAGATATAATTTAGGAAAGAATCGTTCGAAAGTTTCAAGAGATATAATCGAATGCATCTGGCCGAATAATTTTTGTTTACTAAGTCTTCTTCTGCCTAAGTTCAACACCTTGGACAGCAACTTTAGACAAATTCTACAAAGGAAAGGAGCTTGCCAGATGAAAGCTATCCGTCAAAATACTATTGCTAAGCAAAGGGCTTACATTTGTTGTGCTTTCTAGGGAAAAATAAGAAGCTTTTCTAAGAAGAAAAAAAACCTCCGGTTAAGAAAAACAAACAGCATGCACACTAACGTTAGAAAGCTCACGAAATATTTGGAAAAGTTATTTTAAAGTTTGGAAAATTCAAATTTCTTACATTTACAGAGCAATGTTTTATACAAGCATGAAACATTGAACTGTTTCAAACGTTTACTGACACTTTCGCATAAAATAGAAAATTAGTCTTTTTAGAATTACAGTTCAGCACAACAGTGTTTCTTTTCCCTGTAGCATACTGTATACTTGTATACTGTGTAACAAATAAGGATGTTATTGTTGTTACCTATTTTTCCAGAATATTTGAAAATTGTGACTGGAAACAATGATGTTGTAAAAGAAACATTAAACTGAGGCACATAATTAAAATATTATGGACATATACAAGGCGGGACACTACAAAGATTGTTTATAAAATTATTCTAAAATAGAACATTAACCACAAACCAATCACGTGGACATATTTTGTTTTCTACCTATAGAGCAAGGAAGCCACAAACTAGATTTTCCTTATCAATTCAGATTTGTTTAGTTCTAATTTGCTCAATCACCATTTGTTCCCTTATAAATCCATTCCCAAAAGACTTAAAAAGCAGAAGGTGACTTGCATGTCACTACATGTCAAATAAATATTGAAAGCTACTGTAAGTAAGCCCTTCATGGCCCTGCCCTGACAGTAAACACACTGTGAAAATCAACTTAAGGCAGTTAAGTGGTGTTTGATAGCTGCAAGGTGACCTGTGCTCTTGAACTGTGGGGGAAAGGTGGCTTAGTCACAACACAGAAGGGAAGCATAGTAATGTTTATACTGCAGCTGCTTTTTCTAACTGCTTAGAGAAAGGCGAAATAACTGTGATCTCCTATGTGACTCCTGTGACTCCCATGTGACTCATCCATTGTCATGTATCACTACCAAAGAAGCAAACTTGAAATCAACATAGCACAAAATAGCACATTGTCCAAGTCAGTATGTGCATTCATATTAAGTGTTCTCTTTATAGTGTCTGAATTCAGCACGGGTTCTTCATCACTGGCAACAAAATTAGTGCATTTCACTCAAAAACAAAATAATTAAAAATCCCATTCAACATAACACATTTGAATGGCACACTTTCCATTATAATATTTTATGAAGGATGTCAGATGTACACTTCTTCTATAGTGGTGGTTTTAATCTATTCCATTCCCTAAAACAGTGTATACATATGTTATCCTAACATTTGTGTTCTCAGAGCATCACAAATTTATTTTTGGGTTTTGTTACTGTAGTTACTTCTAATGGAAGTTTTTAATTTTATCTAGTCTTAATGTCAAACTGTGTAAACACTTAGTCATACAGGAAATTGGTACCTGCCAGACAAATAGCAAAAACAACAATATAATAATAGTGCCACATATGGAAAATTCTAATAGTAATATGGAGTTTTCATTTGAAGTAAAAGTCTGTGTAACACATCCAAATATGAACAATAATCTGAAATGAAAATAATTTAGCCTATTGCAGCTATGACATTTCTTTTTATTATTTTCTGGCTTATATCTGTAAAACTGAAATTAAGTAAGACTCTTAAATGTTTTCGTAATGTGTTTACAAAGCAAACATTTTTTAGCTTTATGTTCAATTATGTTACACAACAGGCTGAGAAGGATGTTTATACATGCAAGAAAATATTTTTATGTATTTTGTGTGTACAGAATATGAATTAAAGTATCTTCCATTAAATGACGGGATGAAGTGAAAACCTTGTTTCAAATTGTACAAATTGTACAGATTGTACAAATCTACTTTTTGTAACTGGTACTGGTAACATTGGAATTTTGATACATTCTGTACATATTTCTTCTGTTCTGTTAATCCAGACACCTTGCAGGAAAAAAAAAAACAGCGGTCTCCACAGATCAAAATAGATTGATATGTTTTTGGCAGTGAGCAAAAATGATAATAACATCTTACATATTATTTTATCCTTTTTACTATTATTTTGCCATAATATCTGAAATGCTCTCAATTTTGAATATTAAGGAGTATGTATTTACTCTCTTAAGATGTTATTAGCAATTTCCAGTTATGACCACAGGGTGGGCTCCAGGAGCACGTCTTATACAGTGCACATCAGGTGCGACTTGATACAAATTACGAGCTCTTTATTATATAAGGTGGGAAGTAAAAATGAGATACATTATATAGTTCATTATAAACAGTACATTAATATAGTTCAAAACTGAAGTTATGAATATAGTTCATAACTAGAAGTAACCTACTCATTTACTGAGCAAGATATCTGTAGGATCACCATCTATCACACACGGCACACATTTTAGAATCACTTCTGGTGAGTCTGAATTTCCTGCTTCAACTGCATCGATTAAGAGCAGTTCCAATTTTGTGCACTCTCATCAGAGTCTTGCCTGTAGCGCCAGCTGAAACCATGGAGTCTAACTATAATCTACCACATGGAGCAAGCTTCAGCAGCTTTGTTTTTGATTTCTATGTGCTTGTCAGGAGATATTACTTTCCTACAGTCTATAGACCTCTACTGTACATTCACTCTGTACACTACAACAGGTTCTCCAACTATAATTGGAGAGTTAAAGTAATATATTGTATGAACAGAACTGTACTATCGTGAATTTGATTTTAAAAAAGATAGGATTCTATATTCTGATATTTGAATTTCATACCCTATTTTCTGTTGCATTCAGTTTTGTATATACTGTGTATACAGTACTGTACAGTATGTGTATTTACTATACTTACAAATAAAGATATAAGATAAAGCAGTACTTGTACACAAAGATTACAGATATGTGAAGAGAACGCTTGTAAGATTAATGTACGTCAGGTCATAAATAATAGAGGCATTAAAAACTGTAATGCATTGCAATTAGACTAAACAACCTAAAATCAAAGTCAATTTGAAAATGTATCATCACAAGACATTAGGAAAGGAAATTAAAGTACATAATGTATCTGAAATGTAAGACTATACATTTTCTTGCTTGAAGTCACCATACTTGGTAAAGGGGGTCATAGTCTTTTAGCATGGTTTCAATGTTTCATGGTAAATTGTTATTATATAATAATGTAAATGTGAAAAACCTAAACCTTCCCTTTGCCGTGCTGTTTGTGACAGCTTAACGATTTAATTACAAATGCTTGTCATTTTAAAAATATCCATTTATCTGTAATTCTCGCATTTTTAAGATGCTCTCTGCTTTGGTCTTAAACTCAATCCAATTTAGTACCCCAATCCACATCACTATGTGTACCAGTTTCTTAAAAAAAATAGAAAATTCTTTTAAAAATCTATATCCAAAAATACTGTAAAAACAGAAATGATGAGAATCCCAGATGTAGTAAAGACAGAATATTAACAGAGTAGAACACAAGGTATAATTAGTCACATTAGTTTAAGGGAGAATTTTAGAAGAACATACTTCCTTATATTGGGTTATGTTATGATAACCATACATTGTTGCATCTAATTGCATATTTAAACATACAGTTGAGACAGCGCTAGAATGTCAAACAATGGAATGATTCAAACCACAATTAAAGAATTCACCAAATGACAAGCCACGGATAATAACTACTCACAAAAAACAAAAATGTGAAAGTATTTCCAAATCTACTTCACCTTCAAGGAAAGTTATACTCTATGAAAAAATATATATTTTGCAGTTTCTCATCAAAAAATGAAAATAATTGATTAGGCCATCAATATATGATGCTTTCGTCATAGTGCTTCTTTACTCTGAATTCTATCTAAATTTTTGCATTCGAGAATAGACATACATGTACAGGTAACAAATATTGCTTTTATGTCCTTGTTGTGTTATAGGCAAGTTGTATAAGCATGATAGTTACCATAGTAACAATGACATTAAGTCAGTGGTTTATATTTTCATCTCTTAGACATAATTTCAAGGGAATGTTCAACAAGAGGGCATTCACAAACATTTGAGGACATTCTCTAGTGTATATGATGTGTATTGTCCATGGAAGATACAAATATTACTGTTTGCAGTTACTAGGAAGTGATCTGGGTGGTGATATGACTCAGATTAAAATTCAAGTAATTCTATCCAAGTCTATCTTTCACAGATATGTGCTCAAATTGAAAGGCCTGTGGTCAATAATTTTACCACTTTTCTTTACCAGTGATTTGAAAATATTCTTAACCTAAATGGAATAGGTATTCAAGGAGATTTAATCTTCCTTCCACAAAATAGTTTTGCTGTATAAATTTCAGGCTGTGGTTGTCAATACCAATAAACACATGATCAATCATGTACATCAATAATCCATTTCTGAATGTGCTGTGCCCTGCAAAAGTATTCACCCCTCCATTGATGTCTCATATCCCCGAGTTACAGATGATGTTGAAGTTATTTTTTTAATGAAAACTTGAAAGCTCAAACTGTACACTGGGTGGAAGTTAAATCTCAACAAAGACTACAAGTCAACAACCATGATGTGTTGATGTTG